TATATATTTCTATATTTATATATCTCTGTTTCTCTCTCTCTCTCTCTCTGTCATTCTCTGTCTCTCTTTGCCTCTCTGTCTTCCTCTCTGCTTCTTTCACTACCTCTGTCGTTGTATGATGTTTTTGTTTCTATCAAATGTCTAGTCTATCCCTCTCTATGTGTATATCTTTTTATCTCGCTCTCTCTCTCTCTCTCTCTCTCTCTCTCTCTCTCTCTCTCTCTCTAATCTCCTCTTATCACGTTGCAAACCTTGTGCTCATTTCAATATACCCTTCACACTGCCATCAAATGTCTGTTGAACTACTGTTTGGGGGGTAGCTCGATGCTGTAAGCTCGAAGGAGCGACGCCGCCGCCGCCGTTTGACAATCCCAAGTACCGAAAGTCCAGGCCCAACAATTGAACTGCAATAAAACAATTTACCCAATATAGCGCAGCCCAAGAGCAATCGCAGTGCCAACTAGCTGGGATAGCCAAGCCGGCGAGCTCTCGAGTCCAGCTAGTTGCTTGGCTAGCCAGCTAGCTCGACTCTGGAGCCGGGACAAGCTCTCTGCACATTTATCATTGAAATGTGGCGTGCGGCTTTACGCAGCGTCGACTGCGGCGTCGGCGGCTTTGCGGCACCAAAACGAGACCCGATCAGAGCTTCTTGACTTGGCGGTCGCTTTGCATATGCCCAGCCAAACAACAACAACAACAACAACAGAGAGCAAACAGAAGTACGAGTCGAAGTCCCACTACTGCTAGCAGCAGTCAGTGCTCTGCCCTGTCTCAATCTCCGGCTGGGCGGGCGATAAACTAGGCGCTCGTTGCATTGCCAATCGCGTAAGTCAGTGTCAGCGATGCCCATACAAAATCAATTCATTGAACTGAACAGATTTCTCTGGCCCCCTCTCTCAGCTCACCTTCAAGACAAAGGGAGAGGGAGAGAGAGAGATGCTCGCATCTTCATAACAATTGCGACTGTTTCGTAATTTGCATATGTTTTGGCTGCTGCGACAAAGGCTCTCATAATTGCTTGATTTAGCGGCCCATTCATGGGACGTGGCGCCAGAGGCATCCGCTCTACGCTTTCTTTGTGGCCGGCGTGTAAATTGCAAAGCAGCAGGAGTAGCCGCAGAACCTGACTCCCACCACGTGCGGGCGGCTGGCCCTGTCTCAGTTGTGTCGTGTAAATTGCCAAGCAATTCATAAATGTCAACGCGTGTTGCCCAAACGCCAACAGCCAACAGCCAGCAGCGAGAGAGGTGGGAGTAACTGGGAGTGCAGTTGCTGGCTTGATTTATGGGACAACTCTGGTTGCATCTATGCCAATTAGAACTGTCGCCGGTGCGAGACGAAGAAGTTGCTGCTGCTCAGCTGAGCTGTTAGATCATACAAGAAAGCTTTGTCGGAAGGTAAATATGAGTGAGAGAGATAGATAAATACAAATTAGTAATATTTTTTTATGGGAACTTAAACTGGAAAATATTTGAGTGAATTGAAAGAGAAGTAAAGAAAGGTGAAAAGAAAAATATATAAAATTATATAAATGTATAATTATAATTGCAATTTTATAAAAATATTTATTAAAGCTATATTAGAACATTTTCAAGTTAAATTTTTGTATAATAATGTTAAATCGCAAAAGACTATCATTAATATGATAATTGCTTTACGTCTTTTTATTACAATTCTAATTTAAATTTTGTCGAATCGCGATCTAATTATTTTGTATTAATAAAGCTTTCAAAATAGATAGCCAATTACTTAGTATGTTTATTTATTTAAAGTTTTCCTCCCATATTTCATTATTAATTTATAGTTAAATTTGTTTACATTTATTTATTATATTTTTTTCAAATATAAAATATTTTCTAATAATTATATTATAAATTTTTTACATTTATTTATTACATTTTTTTTTTTTTTTCAAATATAAAATATTTTCTAATAATTATATTATATTAAATATTTATGTATTGCAATTGCCATTATTAAAGTATTTTATGATAATTGTGTGAGCAATTTTTAATTATATTATTGGAATAAAATCTTAGTACTTTTGTCATCTCTTATTAAAAGTAAAGTAATTATTTAGCAACAAATTGAAATTTATTTCAACTTCAAATTGTATTCCCAGCTGAAATTTTGACAAGACAGTTGATAGAGTGGCCAATCATGCAACATACTTTAAATTAATCAATAAGAATATAATCTACCCTGTCGCCCATATGGCATAATGAATACCGAAATTTCTGACAATATACAGAACCTATGTGCTCGTAGCTGTTGCTGTTGTTGTTGCTGTTGATCTACCACATCTCATCGATGGCTTTTGGCGCTCACGTCAATTATAGCATTATTTCATTGATGCCTCGAACTGTCCGCAGTCAGATCACAATATTTGCATAAGCCCGAATTACAGTTGCTGCAAAAGATATCAAAAGGGCAAAAAAAAAACTAAATACACACATATATACATATATGTATTTATAAGAAGTAGACAAAAACTGGTCGAGCTGAGTTTAAACAAAAGACAGCAGCAGCAGCAGCGGCAGCAGCAGCAGCGGCGTCATGTGTTGGTTGACCAGAGCTCGACTAGAAGTCAGGGCCCTCGCTCAACGACGACAGCAGGCACGCGCCCTCAGCCAGGTATACAAAGCCAGCAACAACAACAACAACAAAGGGGAAGAAGAAGAAGTGGCAAGCAGAGGTAGCTGGAAGAAAAAAGGACTCGCAAATGCAACTGTTGAGCCGCATCAAGCTGAGCTGAGGGTGAATAACCCAGTGGCGGAATCTCTAGAATGAGAGCCTTGCAGCCAACAATTTTGGCAGGAAGAAAAGAAAAACATTATGAGATGCTATCTAATGTCTATCTGGTTCGCTCAGCTCCTTCGATCAAATTACAGTTCCGGCCTGGTCAAAGATTGGCATTTAGTTCCGCTAAGCGCTTGGGGAGCCAATGCTGCTCCTGCT